CAGGGGTTAAAGTAAGAAGTAAGTTCAAAGTATTGTCATTGATTTTTTTATGCTTTCCCACCACACTCTTACCATTTTAAACTAATTTCTGTGGGTTCTCCAGCACCTTGGTTATGGGCATGTGATAATTTGTTGCTGGTCAACCCATCCCTTCTATTTCCACATTGAAAAATATTAATTTTGTACATGCATTTTCCTCTACTTTTGAATCTTAATTGAAGACTTCCGTTATCTCTGAATGTTTGTAACTCTTTACTATGTTCTAGTTTGTTTTTGTTTTCATTTTATGAAGTGAAGATGATGCTTGTGGATGGTGCTGCACAACATAATAATAATTTCAAGATTTACTTGTTTTGGAGAATATAATTAAAAAGAGTAGCTCTAACATTTTTTCAATGATGCCCTATAGAAAGGATTCTCTATTTTTTATACCTTGTGTCTCCAAATTGGGCTGACATTTTGAATAATTTGTGTCCCTTTCTTTGAAGTTTGTTTCTTTGGGATTTTAATAAATCTTATAAGTTTTCAGAAATCCTCCTTTATCTCTGAACATTAAAATTGCTAGCTTTAGGAAAAGGACAGTCACCTGTTGTCTTTTGCATATTCCCTGTTCCAATGGATCATTTAATTTTAGCTCTCCAGCTTTTGCAGCCCTCCCTCTCCCCACAAAAGAAGAGCCACTCCCAAACTCTAAAATGCTTCAGCTACCCTCTCTCTTACCTGCCCCCCAAAAGGTGACAAAAAAACTTGACCTGATCCTAGCTGCTTTAACCTGTCTGCCACCCGTTCCCATCTGAACAACTCAACCTGCTGCCCAGGAAATTCAGTGATGAAGGGGTCAACTTGAATTTTTACACTCCCAGTGAATGCACTTACACACTTCCTCTAGACTCAGAACTGTAAATGCATCAAACAAGTTACGGTAAGCAAGCCTATTAGAATTCTTCATTAAATTTCAAATAAAGAATAGCAAACAAATGGTAACCTGATCACCAGATTACAGCATCCCTTGTGAAAGTTCCTGTGCTTAAAAATGATATAGTTGTGTACCAAGGAAGGTAAATGCCAAAGGAAGGGAAGATTGTCCCTATTGTGATAATATGGTGGTCAATGCCACGGATTGTTGTTTTTTCCTGATGTTTTCTTATAAAAATGGTGAGTAAGGCCCTGATCTTTGAATAGGCCAGTCAGCGGAAATTTAAACTATGAGTCACTGGAAACAGCTTGAAATGGCATCCTTCAACAAAGGAGCTGTGCTCCTCCACTGATGCCCATGTGTAAGGGTGGCTTCAAGAACCAAAGCCTCAGTCAATTAAAATCAGACCTTTTGTATTGTTATACATGGATATGCAAGCTCCATGCCTCCATGTACACATTGGACCATGGTGTTTTGCAGGTGTTGCTAATATTTGCCCTAGTGTGTCAAAAACATTGCCGTAAGGCGCATATACTGAATGTAGCCTGTATAGAGACCCTTTTGTGACCCTTGTGCTGTTATATTTTAAGATTAAGGCAAAAGAAGTTCTTAAGGGAAACAAATATACTTGTTTTTGCAACTTGCTGAGTGTTTGTTCCTCTAACATTTTGGCATAGTTCCTGAATCGCTGGAGCTTAGAGTAATATCTTTAGTTGTCTCATCAGCAGACAGCAGGATGTCAAAGCTTACTGTTTTCTTTATGCCCATCCTCCCCCTCCTTCAGCCAGTATTTTGGCAAGTCCTCAGATGGGAGATCTGAACCCAATGTTTCTTGGGATGTTTAAAAATTCCCACTCCTAGTTCATCTGTGCACATGTTGCAAACACTGAAAATTAAGGCACTTTGTGTGCACTTGAAAAACGCCGTGTTCTAGTGTGATGTGGATGTGCATAACACATGAAACGTGATCAGAATAAACATTTTTGTGCCTACTTTGAGCTTTCTAAAATTAAAATGGTGGGGGGGAAAAGGAACCTCAACCATAATATGTCAAAGTTCTTATAGACTCTGACTTTGACTTTGAACTCCATTATTCTACTTTTGCACTGATTGGCTCCCTCTATGTTATCCTCATGAATTGGTAGGAAATAACCATAATGAAAATGTCCCAGGTCTGTACAACAGCCAGCACCATAACAGTCTACTTAATTAATGGTTATATGTACATTTTGTTCAGAATCATTTCTGAGGTTTTGGTTGATGAGGTTAGCTGTTACCAGGGATGCGGTTTCAGTACAGTGGTTGCCATTTAAAAGTCAATATCACTGTACCAACAGTTACCACACAGTAGTATCTGAGATAACACAATTGTTACCAATACTTTTTGACAGGAAATATCTGCATTGTCCCCAGGATCATGAGCATTTGTAGGAAAATATTGACTCTTTAACAATGACCACTGTAAATATTGTATACTGATTTACACAATCTCTGTTTCTGAATATCCACTCGTTGATTTTGTCCCCTCTGGTGAGGGTGGTAAGTTGAACTTGCTGAAATGGAGCCATCAGTATGCAGTTAATATTAGAGCTATGTGAATTCTTTGCAGCAAGAATTTGAATCCCTTCAAACTGAGTGTGGGTTTCAGGTTTGCTACATTTTGCCAATGGAAGTTTCCATTGTTAGAAAATCTATTCACTTTCTCCCCCTAACCAGATAGGGGTTCTCTGGGGATAGAGAGGTAGGATGCTTCTGGAAGGTACAAGTTATAATCAGACTTGAATCACCAGGCAAACATGCAGGGGTTGGTTTGTAGCCAATGCCTGCAAACCAAACCACAGGGTTCAGTTTGCAAACACTATTGCAAACTGAACCCCGCAGGGTTTCCACAGCTCTAGTTACTATTATTGCTCCTGGTGAGGCTTATTATCCTGTCACAGAAGATGTAAGAAAATCCATCTCTCCACTTTAAACATCATAAGCCTTTGTCACCTACAACACAATTAATGTTAAAAATAGAACCGTGCCTATGATAAGATTGTGACTTGCAGGCGATGAGCCATTGTCCAAGTAACAGGGACTTATCTGGAGGGCCAGTCAACCTACACAGAACTGTCAGTTTGCTGATTGCCATTTCTCTCGGAGTTTGATGAAATATTCATGTCTCTGCTCTGCTCTCTGGAAGCACTATTGATTTCTTGTATAAACGCTGCTATATTTAGTCTAGACAAATGGAATGTGGATTGCAGCTGAATAATTTGGATGAAAGGCTGGGTTCTTGACTGCTGCTTTCTCTTGGTCTTGGGCAATTATTTATAATCAAGAGTAGTTTTTGTAAGTTAAGGGTGATTTTTTACAATTTAGTGATTAGTCTCAGAACAAAAGCAAGCAGTTAGGCATAATCATTCTGTTGGGATAGCAGGTTAAGAAGTCAAATTATGCTTTGAGGTTTACAATCACTGTTTCAAGGAGTAAAACAAAATGTTTGATGTTACCAGTTTATTGACAGAAACAGAATATAATAAAAAGGGAAAGTTATGGTGTCTCATGTCTTCCTTTAAAAAAAAGAGTTTATTTTTTATTTCGCATGTGTCAGATGCCAAAGTATACCCAACAGATTTTAGCATATGCTTAGAACTCAGCTGAATCTGTTGGCTGTGAGTTTTAGCTTTCACAGCCAGCATACTACTACTATTTGCTGGAATGTTTCTACTGTATTGTGTCCCTCTCTTCTTTGTTTTGAACTGAGGGAACAATAAAAGTAAATAAAACATGAGAGAAAATATGTATAGAAGTATGTGCAGCTCGTCATTTTGAGACACTGTATTTTAGCCACTCAATTTTTTTTCAATAGAAATAGTTGCAGTGAACTAGTGTGTTTGTTTATAATTCCCCTTTAATGAATTGAAACACTGCCCAGACTCTGTTCATTGAGAACTGCTCAGACCCTATACTGCCAACTACCAATGGAGATTCTCTTTTAGTACAAGTGGTAGGTGCTTCTGCCTTTTTGGAACAGATAGACCTGTGTTCTACCCCCCCACAGTTGGTATGAAAACCCAAACAGCCCTGCTGTGTAGAATAGTGAAAATCATTAAGTTTGTATATATCCTTGGATTTAATTCAGGGAATGAAAGATCATGAGATTCTTCATTACCCGGTTCTATGTTGTGTTAGCAATTTATTCCATTACCGAGGATGAATTAAAACAGTCTTTTTAGCAAGATCTTTTCATTCCATGATGAGTAATGTATAGTACACCTCTACCCCGATATAACGTGACCCGATATAACACAAATTTGGATATAACGCGGTAAAGCAGTGCTCCGGAGGGGCAGGGGTGTGCGCTCCAGCGGATCAAAGCACGTTCGATATAACATGGTTTCACCTATAACGCGGTAAGATTTTTTGGCTCCCGAGGACAGCGTTATATTGGGGTAGGTGTATGTGCCACATTCTATCTACTATAAGTATGTGAGTGTTCATTATTTAAAACCACCACATTAAAACTTAAAAAATGTGTTTTCCCCATTATTGTCCCATATAATCCTCTGTCTTCCTCTGTTCTTAGCACATTTATGGTTCTCACTGCATAATGCAGAAGAATATCTGTACAGGTGTAAAATCATATTCAGTCAGTCTGAATGTAAGCTTTCTCCCTTGAGAATAAGAACTGTCACAACTTCAGGACCTTCATCTTATGCCAAACACCACAAGTATACTAAATGTGTATTGTTACACAGTGTCTCACCAATTAAACTAAATAATGCTAAGTCAGCAAATTGGCAGGTTCTGACATGTTGTGCAATGTTTTGTAGGAGCTGGGTTCTCATTATTCCACAGGGGGACATTTCTTTAAAAAATGGGAGGAAAGTAATAGGATGGTGTGTGAATGTATTAGATTGCTAGTGGAAATGACTAGATTTTGCATATGGCTTACAATGACAGGCATTTTGCTAACTCGATAAATTGAAGGAATTTGGAGTGAAATGAAATTATTTCTCCCCGATATGCAGCATAAATTCATTTTTGTCTGCATTCATTTATATATTTTCCTGTTGTTGTTGTTGTTGTTGTTTTATAGTGGATGTAAAGTCAGAGGTTCCTGTGGGATTGGAGCCCATCACCCCACTGGACTTGCGAACAGATCTCAGGATGATGGTTCCCATTGTGGACCCAATTATGCGCGAAAAGCAGCTCCAGCAGGAGCTACTTCTGATCCAGCAGCAGCAGCAAATTCAGAAACAACTTCTGATTGCGGAGTTTCAGAAACAGCATGAAAACTTGACCCGACAGCACCAGGCCCAGCTCCAGGAGCACATCAAGGTAGCAAAATCTTTCATTTATCGTGGGGCTCCTCCAAAGTAAGCTGAATATTCTCAGCTGACTACTGGAAAGGGTGTGCTCCTCTCCTGGAAGTTTTTGTGGGATTTAAAGATGTAGTTTGAGTGATTATTGTTGTCCATGTGCGCGGTATAGAGAAGGGATAGAAACCCATACTGGGTTGGATGGTGATAACATTTGGCTATTAAAAGAAGATTTTCAAGCATACTTGGTAGAGGCTATTGCAGTGTTGTACTATACAGGCAGCAAACCAAGGCACTCTGAATTAGAATACTCTGTCACATTCAGATGAGACCTTCTCAGGCAATCAAAGTCCACATTTTTAACCAAATTTTCAGTCAGGCCTCAATATGGCTGCCTTTTTTGTAGGAGCGATTTTGAGCTGCCTAGTAAATGTGACGGTTTTTGTTGTTGTTGTTGTTGTTTTTGCAGCTGCCTGAGTTTGTATCCACAAATCACATAGACAGGCCACCTGCCTTCTGCTATTTGCAAAAATGGGGGCAGGTGCAGCAAATTTGGCACTTTGCCCTCTCTAGGCTACCTCACAGAATATGAAAGAAACTGATTTATGGGATTAAACCTGTCATGGAAGAAACACTGAAGTAGATTTTTTTGACTGAGAGTTTATGGTCTTGGGTTTTTTTCTTTTTCTTTCTGAAATATCTTAGACTGTCGCTCTGCTAATGTGGTGAGCCTTTCTATGATGCGACTAACTGACAAATCCAATTGAGAATAGCATCTAGAGTCTGATGCTGCATTGGCAGAGAGTGAGAATAATGTGCAGGTTATACCCACGTTTGGCCAAAAAAAAAAAGCAAAACCAATGCAGCCAGCTACTTTGTGATATTAGAGCTGATTTTAATGGCAGCTGATAACACAGTATTCCACTTGAAAGAATAGAAAAGTGGGTTACGGAGTAATATGAGCACAGATGAAAGCTCTTATCTCAACTATTGAAGTGAGTTATTTTGGCCAACACTGACCTGGACAGCGGTGCATACTGCATTTGCTCATGTCTTTTATTCTTTGCAAGTTACAACAGGAACTCCTCGCCATTAAACAACAGCAAGAACTCCTTGAAAAGGAGCAGAAACTGGAGCAGCAGAGGCAAGAGCAGGAGCTAGAGAGACATCGCAGGGAACAGCAACTTCCTCCCCTCAGAGGCAAAGAAAGAGGCCGAGAAAGTAAGAGCCACTGTACCAGGACTAAGGATAAAAAGATGATATATCCTTCCCCTCCCATCCCCTGCAATGGGTAATGGCCAGGAGCAAGGCTAATAAGTGTGGTCCCATTCAACGTTAAATATTCAGCCACAGGAGTAAGTGGTGTGCCTGCAAACTCAGCCACACAGTTAGTTTATGCAGCTGGGAGCGGGGGGCGGGGGAGTTGCACCATGGTTGTATATCTTCCTCTGATACCTACCTTGCCTTTGTAAAAATAAAGTATGTAGTTTGAAAGCACAAAGCTTCGTTTGAGATCTTCTCTCTCAGATAATTTTTTTATTACCTAATGCAGAGCACACTACCAAACAGCAGGCTGCTTGCTAGCAAAGAAATTCATTTGAACATTGTTTCAAGAGGGAAAACTTAATATAGCATTTAAGAGTATCTCAAGTGAGCACACCTGCTCTAGTTAGATCACTAGTTCTTTTCAGACGGGCATGTCAGTGTTGCTGACGCAGCTTCCTGAGATGTGCCCAAGAGTTCCGTTTCCAGCTCCAGTATGGCTTTAAGGCAAATGAAAGATAGAAAGAACATTGCTGGAATGTGATGCTCACTAGAGGGAGACAGATACAAATAATTCCCTCAGTAAGGTCAGTTTAAAACCAGATTGTTCCAGAGTATCAAAAATGTGAAGTGATTCAAAATGGAATTGTCACAAAGAGGTATTACTACTGGTGCAGCTGAAGAAGCATAAAGAGCAAACCAGAAGAGATCTGCATACCATGCCTGCAGGATTTACATTCCTCAGCCTTTTTATTTATCAGGAAAATAGTACCCATTTAGCAGGGGCATCTATAATATGTTTTAGGTTTTAAAAACTAAAGACTCAGTGGAACTCCTATCACGTTAGTGGAAACTGCACACAAGTGTTTGAAGGCAAAATTTGACTCTGAAATTGTGTTTTCGAAAGATTTCCTCTGTTCTATTCAGGTTCTTATTTTGCACCCATCACTGTGGTTTCAGAGTGGCTTCCAGTGGTGCATTGAGCAATGGGTAGTTCTTTCCTTTTTTCACCCCACAGGAAACATTGCATGTGGATTTTTTATAACTATATGACATATTATGTTTATATTAGCAAAGACCAGGTGGAAAAAGTGTGGCTTGCACTTGAAATGGAAGGTGGTGGGTGAGGTTTAAGGTAGTTCCCATATCCTGTGGCAGTTTGTTCTGCTGTCCCAAGTGGCCCCCAAGAAGCTCTGTCTCCAGCAATGAGCTTCACTGTTGCTGTGGAAAGTTCCATTGTTTTCAAGAGCAAAATTGTCAACCACAGACCTTATCTTAGAGCATTAGGTGATCTTTTAGGATCGCAAGTCCAGGTCAGTAAGTGCCTTGAAAATAAAGACTTAACTCTGGGGCTTCATGCAGCATTCTGTTAAGAGGCAGTGCAGTAGGCAGATGACAGGTTTGAGGTGCTATTGGCATTGCTTTCGTTCAGTGAAGATATTATTTGTGGGTAACTCAAACTCAAAGGGACTCAGATAATATTTTGTTTTATTTCTGTCAGCATTTCTTTTTCCTAATGATTTGGGGATATTTAAGAGTTGATTCTGCACCTGGAAAGGATTCACAGGAGAAAGGGACTGATTCAAAGCCCGCTGAAGTCAACTTAAATGCTACCATTAACTTCAATGGGCTTTTGGATCAGGCCCTGAAAGAGAGGTGTCCTGCAGAGTGAACATTTAATTTAGACTCTCTCCCATTTTGACTGTGATTTCCACCAGGCTTCCTTCTATTTTCCATCACTTTCCACAAGCTGTTGGCTCTTTTTTGTTTTTCCCCCCGGTGCTCTAGAGAATGGGAAGAGCTTTCAATCTTTATGTATTTTAGGGGCAGTGGCAAGCACAGAAGTGAAGCAGAAACTTCAAGAGTTCCTGTTGAGTAAATCAGCAACAAAAGACTCTCCAACTAATGGGAAGAATCATTCCACGAGCCGCCACCCCAAGCTCTGGTACACGTATGTTCTGTGTTAAGCTGTTTGCATGCCTCACCGATATATTTGCTAAGGGTGGGATTCCTTCCCAATAGGAATGTTGAGAACCTGTCTCCAGGCCAAAGTAAAAATTAAGAACATTAATACAGAAACAAAATAAAAACACTTCTTACTGAACATAGTAGTATTGAGAGCCTGTACTCAAAGTGATGTAGTTAGAGCTTTTCAAAACAAAGTGGTTTCAGTTCACAGGAGTTTGTATTTTTTTTTCCTATTTCAGGTCCCAAGTGCCTCACTTCGAGTTTCACATTCAAACTATCCCCTATCAAACTCAAAGCAGAGCTCAGCCAAAACTGTCACATTTGGAGACAGAATATGTGAATGCATCCGTTTTCCACCCACACCCATAATTTTCCCAGGTTCACTCAAAAGCTGACTCAGGCTGGCTAAAAAGCTTGTGAACTTGGGCCAAGCGTAGTGTTTATAATGATGCTAGGCAATTTTTGTCTGGCGTTAGACCTGGTTATGAAAGTTTGCTGTGACCTTGTGGTTCACCTGCTCATGGAGAACATGCATAACAGATTGATAGACTCCGGGTGAGCCATCCCATTTCCAGAAAGGGAAACTGATATAATTTGAGGATCTAGGAGAGGTGGAGATTTCTTTTCAACTTTTCTGAAGTTTTAACCTCTGCTGCTATATCATTTATATAAAATCTCAAGAGATCTTGCAAATCTGACCTGTTTTTCCATTGGGAATTGGTTTGTGCTTGAGTCACTCAGATTAAGACTCAGAAAATGAAACAGCCTCCTTTTAGCCTCAGGTATAATTCAAAGCCATGATATTGTAGATGAAGTTAACAGATATTGTAGAATGCTGCTCTCCGGTCCAATGTGTGGGATTTTAGAAATAACTCTCTAGCATATTGAGAAGTGGTAAGGGATCTCTTAGCTTTTTTCACCATTCTTTTTGAGGTTGTTGGCCCTAGGTATCCAAGAATGCACACTGATCCCAGAGAGAGACCATGAGGATGAGGTTCTCGGGTTACTGAGGTAGTGATGCTTCTAAGCATTGCAATGGCTAAGGATTTACACTCATTCTTCCGGTCCATTTTTTTCACTATTTCAGTCCAGTCTTTTCTGCCATCTTTATCATAGCAGCTGCATCAATATAAAACAGCCCTGCAAACAGGATAGTGGACATGTTTCCAAAGACTTCAACACCATTCCTGAGTCTGCCTGGATAGAGAGAAATATATGCAGCATGCTAGTGTCACCTCCTTCCCAAGAGAGGTTTAGAGACCTGAGGAGCAAACCCAAGATTCCTACCTAGATAGTCTGTTGTGCAATCTACCAAGACACCTAGATGTCCTTGATTAAGCATTTTGATCTGGTGTTTGTTCTTTTTAAACAGTCATTAAAGGTTTCCCTCTGGGGTTTTCACTGTATTGTACAGTTTGAGAATCCTGGTAACATGTTTTAATATGTAATTACATTGTTTCCAATGGTAGTACTGTACTTAATAGTTTGTGCTATATAATGTGCACTATTCTACTAATTGTAAAATTTCTGGCCCAGCAGCCAAGAGAGAAATCTGAGGTTAGGGTCTTCAGATAAGCAGGCACTAGGAAAGCTAGTTTTTCACATTAGCAATTCCCTTTGACAAAGGCATGTAATATTCAGGGTTGTTGTAGCCGTGTTGGTCCCAGGATATTAGAGACACAAGGTGGGTGAGGTAATATTTTTTTATTGGACTAACTTCTGTTGGTGAGAGAGACAAGCTTTCAAGCTCCACACAGCTTACACAGAGCTCTTCTTTGGGTCACCTGAAGAGCTTTCTGTAAGCTCAAAAGCTTGTCTCTCTCACTAACAGAAGTTGGTCCAATAAAGGATATTACCTCACCCACCTTGTCTCTCTGAAGGCATGTAATGTCATTGATGGGCCCTGCTATTTCAGAGAGAGTTGCCGCAACAGGCCTGTAAAAGATGACAGGAGTAAAATGCGTAGATATGAGGTTCCAAGAAGGGCCCCACAAGAAAAAAGCTCTGTAAATTAAGTTGTCCTTGAGCCAGATGATGCAATTCCCTTGGGCATTTATGGCTGGAAAGAGCTGCCCACAATTTTTCTTGCATTGCCCAGGTGTCAGAAAGAGCTCTCCAATGTAGGACTTCACTGCTGACACTAACTTTACATGCTGCAAAGTATTGCAGTTATGAAGTTTCATTTGCTGCCCAAACTAAAGGCAAGGTTTTGCTTTCTCCTTTACAACTCCTGGCAAACTTATCTATATTTTTCCAGGGGAGTAACACCTCCTCTTCAAAATATTGGGTATTTGCCCTACAAAAAATGACAACTCCATAGTAAAGGCCACTTTTAATTTATATTTTTATTTAATAAACAGGAATCAAATGGCTTTGCTTCAGCTGGTACAACTTAAAAAAACCCAACAACCTAAAATGTTCAATTCCCCGATCTGGTACAGATCCTGTTGGTGGGCCAACATGACTCTTATCCTTTGTGACTTTTATGATAAGTGCAAAAATGGCATTCTTGGGAATCCTGAGCAGTTCCATAACTTACTGTAAAAGTGAAATTGGTTACATGAGCCTGTGGTTTGTGCACACTTGGAGGAGTAAGCACATAAACACAGCTCAGACATGTGGACAACATGTGTAGACGGTTACTGCTGGTCACCTCACTTACTACTAAGTCATGACCTCTCTGTGTCTGCTTCAGGGCTGCCCACCATACCTCACTGGATCAAAGCTCTCCACCCCTGAGTGGGGCCTCTCCGTCATACAAATACACTTTACCAGGAGCACAGGATGCCAAGGATGATTTTCCACTTCGAAAAACTGGTGAGTCAGAGAAGTTTGTTCTAATCCCCTACCCCACAATTCTGCTTCACTTGGTTGTTAATCGGGCTGTTGCTTAGCAAGGTATATATCATAACCTGCAAAGCCTATTCAGCCGCATGATTCATTGGAAAGGTTCAAAGGTGCTAACTGTATAATTTTCCAATTTAGATTGACCCTGTGGTGTCAAGAACCAGTATTTCCCAATGCTAGCAGCTAGTACAGACTCCAGTCCTGATATATGTACTTGTTAATATTTCACAATATCAGGGGAACTTGTGCAGTATTATTAATAAATCTAATATTAATTCTGGGTTTAATTTGACAATCATGGCTCTCTCTCTCTTTCTCACAGACGGTATATACTGCATTTACATTAAGGTCTTCAGAGTTCTTTTTCTTTTGGGAGGAGGTAGACAATTATTATATCAGACCATTTTCTTTGGCTGGTTGCCAAGGTTAAATATATCTGTTTTAAAATCCTTCAATGTGAAATGTGAAATGTTTTAGAAGAAAGTGTTCACTTAGAAAACAAGCTTTAGCTGAACCTCTTTTCCTGACAATAGGTGAACTGTAGGCTTGACTTTGTCTACTACAGCATAGAGTGTGTTAAGGGGCTGGTGGTGGAGACTTGGTGCCCCTTGCCCCAGGTTTTTGGTGTGGTGACTGGCATCCAAGAATGCAGGGAGACACTAAGGGGGTGAGGAAGAAGAGAGAAGAAAACATTAGATCCCTTATTGCATGCGGCTGCTGTTGAGTGATATAGTTACATTCTGAGAGAGAGTCTACCCCCCTGCTGTGCTAACTGCCTTTGAATGTGCTTCAATCACTGGGAGATTGAAAACTAACTGCAGAACTGGTACTGACAGAGAGAGAAGTGGCATTTGAAACCAGTAAGCATCCAGAAAGAAAATCCAATCTACATCTAATTCTTCAGGACAGACACTCAGCTCATGTTATATCCCCTAATGTTTTCACAAGAATAGTTTAGTGCTTGTTTTTGTAAAGAATGAAAAACAAACTGCTAATTTATTCTGGCTGAATTATTCAGTCTGCTTTTAGTACACCATGGTGGCAATATAAGGATCCTATAAAAAGCTTGCTCAGGCTATTCTGTCATAATAAGCCCTTCTGCAGTTTTTTGCTTAACGGCCTTGTACAAGATGTATTTTCTGTGCCAACATGCTAGATGTTTACATTTGTTTGGAAAACAAAACAATACAGTCTGCACCTTCTAAAATGCTGTGAATTTTTCTGCATTTTCACAATGCAGGTTTTAATTTTTCTTCAATTTTTACATATTTTAAATAGTTTGATTGATATTTATGATGTGTCAGACTGTTGATCTGTAAAACAAAACATTTTCAAACACTGTAACAGTAAAGTTCTTGTGCAGCTGTTAATACTTTTATATCTCTGTGGGGGTTTCAAAATATTCCTTAATTCAATTCCCATTGTCTGTATAAGAGGACTATAATATAATTAAATGCAGATGTTTTCCATACATTATTCCAAATATTTGGCCATGCAGTGCATCAGTTACAAATAGAACTCATGAGTATATGACTCTTTAAAAAAACACACACAACATAAATAGACAAATAATGATATGATATATTCAATAGCGCAGCAGTTTTTTTTGTCACTTCAGTGTTATTTGATACTTTTACTTAAATATTCTACTATGTAAACGGAGATGATATGTTCAGTATGTCATTTCTTAGCAAAGAACTGCATTTGATAGCTCTATATATCTGTTAATATAGCAACTCTTATAAATATCTTGTTTGCCTATTAAATCACTCCCAGTAGCAGAAGAGTCTTAATTTAAGCCTTTCAGCAACAGCTCCACAAAGGTTCCAATGATTGTTCCCCAGGTTCAGAGTAAAATCAACAGGAACTGGAACAACGCAAGTCAAATGACCCCAAACTGATCCGGGTGGCTATAGGGCCATCCCTTAGGCAGAGGGGACATTGTGGAGCCTGTGTCATCCTCATGGGACCATATCAGACAAAGATGTCCCAGGAACATTCATATATATAGACAGGCTCTCTGCCTGCAGAAATCTGACCTTTGCCACCAGGGTGAACCTTTTTTTCCCTTTTCCTGGGGCTATGAATGCTTATTGCCACTGGCTTCTACCAAAATTCTGTGATTCTGAACCTGCATGCAATCAGCAATTGCTATGAAAATGAACCTTTACATTCTGTTGAAGGTAAGAAAGGGATAGCTAAAACCCAAGTTAAGGGTTAGTTTGTAATAATAGTTCTGATTTGTTTCCCAAGTTCTTACTGATGCTCTTAACATAAAGTCAAGAGGTGTCTTTCTTTTCTCTTCATTTACATGGTGCCCTCAAAGGATACTTTTGATTATATTTAGTTAGTTTAGATTCAGCATAAAGGAATGAGAAGCAAAGCTGAATAATGCTATCCCAACAGCAAAACTGTGAACAAGAAACACAGTATTAGGAAAGAAACGTACGTAAGTCCAGGGCCGGCACAACCCATTAGGGCGCTACAATTTGGGGGGCGGCGACCGCGGCGGTATTTTGGCGGCAGGACCTTCCGCCGCCTCTGTGGGGGCGGCATTTTGGGGCGGGACCTTCCGCTGCCTAGGGTGGCAGAAAAGCTAGCGGCGTTCCTGCGTAAGTCATGAGGTTTTCCTTTTTATTTCAGCAGACTGTTTCCCCAACCTCCCCTTCCCCATCCCACCATTGTCATCATGGGGAAATGGTGTCTTGCTACTAAATCTGTTCAATTGTATTCAAAGGTCAGACTGTAAAAGGGAGAACTACTCTACTCAAATTCTGCCTACAAGACACAAAAATCCAGAATAACTGGACATTGTAGCTAATTAGTTAGTAGTCTTGATATTTACATGCTTATCATTAGATTCCAGAGTAATCACACCACTGCAGTGACTGTGAGCCCATGTATTGTTCCTTCCCCAGAAGGTGTAGAGGGACCTGTGTGTAATAAACTTGGTGCAGTTCTAGTGCACAGGGGTTTGACACTAGTTTTGGGGCTTTAGGCCAAGGATTGCAGCTCCTTGCACAGCGGCATTCACATTTGTTGTTTGCAGTGTTGTGGTAGCCATGTTGGTCGCAGGATATGAGAGAGGCAAGGTGGGTGAGGTGATATGTTTTATTTGACCAACTTCTGTTGATGGAAAGGACAAGCTTTTGAGCTTCACGGGGCTCTTCCTCAGGTCTGGAGGGGGAACCATAATGTCCAGGTCAAATACAAGGTGAGACAGATTGTTAAGCATAAGTGGTTTACATATGTTGTAGGAGACAACTTAAAATGAAGTGGGCAATTAACACTACTGCAGTGGTAGGACAAAGGAGGAAAGAAAGCAGCAGGGTGTGTTACAAATTGTTGTAATGAGCCATGAAACTAGTGTCTCTGTTAAGACCATGACTCTTGGTGTCCAGAATTATGAATTTAAAGGCTCAGCTTTTGAAGGTGTTATGCAGGTTTCCTTTGAGAACAAGGACTGGGAGGTCAGATATGGAGTGATCACTTCATGAAAAGTGTTCACGCCTGGGTGATAAGCTTTTTGTTGACAGGCTCATGAAGGAGCTGAGCAGGAGGAGGACTGGGGAAGCCATCGCTTTGTTAGATACATGGATATAGATTTAGCATATAGAGGAGTCACACCTGTTTAATTGAGAGCAGAATATGGCCTACAATGTGTAGGGTCAGATTTTTAAAAGTGCTCAGCGGCCAGCAGCTCCCATTATGATTAGTGTGGGGATTCTCAAAAGCACCTAGATGACTTAGCAGCACAAGTCCCATTGATTTCCAATGGGACTTGTGCTCCTAAATCACTCAGGTGCTTTTGAAAATTCCACTCAATGGAAGCTGCTCAATATTGAACACTTTTGAAAGTCAGGTAACTTTTGGGAGGCCTAAAGGGAGCAGATCTCTTTTAAAAATCTGATCACATATTTAGGTGTCTAGATGAGAGCCATTTGGTGCTGAACTCCATAATTCTCTGTATGTCTAACTGGGAAGACGTTATCTTTAGACTAGGCTCCTTGAAAATGAATATGTAACAAACCAGATGGGTTTCATGGGGGGAAGAGTTGTTCTCTAACAAACTTACTTTTCACCTTGTTGAAACAAAACAAAAATGTTCTGGCATAAAGCCAGAACGTTTGCATTTTCTTGGAACTGTAACATTTCACTTTCTATGCTCTAGTATTGATGCAAACCAGCAAAAGCCAGTAAATTCCAAATGAAGATTAGCCCTCTGTTTTAACTAAAGCCATGTGCCTTTTTTAAACATTGCTTATAGATGGAGCCTCTGCCTTCATTTTGCATCATTTCTTGGCGTTTGTTGGAAGAAATTCCAGAGGACACCACCATGGGTTGGAGTCCTAATCTGGCAATCAAAAGACTAGACTTTTGAATACCTTTTATATTGCAACACTCTAACAGCAGCTTCTTATCCTCTCTGCATGTTACTTTCATATTTAAATTGTGTGTTGCTCTTATAAACTGTTAGTTATGGTGCTATCCTTGAAATTATTACTGAGGGTAATGTTTTCATTTTGCTAGAGTTATAGATAGTCTGTGTTTCACCTGAGTGCTAGCTAAAGCTAATGACTAATGTTTTGGAGGTTATATTCCTCACACTGAGCATAAATTGCAAGTTAATAGCTCTACTGCAGTGGTTTTCAACCTGTGGGCCACATACCCCTGGGGGTCCGCAAACTATGTCTAAGGGGTCCATGAAAGGTTGTCGTTACCACAGAACAATGGTTTTCAACCTGTGCTCCACAGGCCCCTGGGCATCTGTAGACTACCGTATGTCTAAGATTTCCAAAGGGGTCTGCACCTCCATTCAATATTTTTTAGGGGTCTGCAAATGAAAAAAGGTTGAAAACTACTGCACAACAGCACAAATACCTGAAGCAGACATTGAAAACCAGTGCTGCTGATCAACACTTCTATTTCTGTAAGGAGCTCTCTAGATTCTGTGTCTTTAGTGCCTTACT